TGCAGGCTGTTTCAAAGGTTGTTGTTAGCAGAAGCATATTCATGTTTACATATAGCCAGATGTTAAACTTCTTGGAAGCTCTAGATAGGCGAACTCTGGAATTTTTTATTTCAATAAATTGTTCCACAGGTATGAGCAGGAATATTTTACAGTGCTAATGTATTCACATGCATCTAGAGAGGAATATATCTGCCCTCTAAACTGTGAAAACAAATGATCAGGTAGAAAATTATCATTTATCTTGAGTTTAATATAAACTAGCATTACAGTTCTTTAAAAGGGTTTGAACTTGTGTCTGTAGACTTTCCACTGATTATTCTTAAGGACTAACAAAGCTATTTATTATTGTCATTCATATGAAAAAAGTGCTTATTGATTTGTCTAATTATGCAAATGCACAGCAGGGGAGAATTTCTACCTGCAAATCTTACAGATAAACTAAATAAGAGTGGGAACAGAACAGAAAGAGAAAGCAAATGAACAAAGTGGTAGAACTGGAGCTCTCTGATTACCAGCCAAGGTCTGCACATTCTGTCCCCACTGAACTTCTGTAGTGTTGTACTTTCTCACAGAAGTTTGCCAGACATGCAACCATAGTTCTGGAAAGAGCATTTAATGCTTCTAAATAAGGATCCTGATCACCTACAGATCTTAGAAATATCTTCTAAGTGATGTCAAAGAAATAATCTTGCTCCTGTTAACTGTGACAAGACAAAATTGTGTTTCATGTACATTTGGATTGTATAGAGATTACAAACATGGTGTGCTGACTTTGGCTGTGGTAGACTCAATTTTCTTCACAGTAGCTGATGTGGGACTGATGTGGGACAGTTTGTATGTGTGATGAAAACAGTGTCTGCAATTCAGGGATGTTTTTGTGAGCAGTGCTTGCACAGAATCAAGGCTTTTTCTGCTCCTCAGCCCACACCACCAGTGAGCTGGCTGGGGGACAGCTGGGACAGCTGATTCCAGCTCCCCACTAGGGTATTTCCTACCTGTGGCATCATGCTCAGCATACAAACCTGCTCACAGGGTATTTCCTACCTGTGGCATCATACTCAGCATACAAACCTGCTCACAGGGGTATTTCCCAGCTGTGGCATCATACTCAGCATACAAAGCTGCTCACAGGGTATTTCCTACCTGTGGCATCATACTCAGCATACAAACCTGCTCACAGGGTATTTCCTACCTGTGGCATCATACTCAGCATACAAACCTGCTCACAGGGGTATTTCCCAGCTGTGGCATCATACTCAGCATACAAACCTGCTCACAGGGTATTCCCTAACTGTGGCATCATGCTCAGCATACAAACCTGCTCACAGGGTATTCCCTAACTGTGGCATCATGCTCAGCATACAAACCTGCTCACAGGGTATTTCCTAGCTGTGGCATCATACTCAGCATACAAAGCTGCTCACAGGGTATTTCCTAGCTGTGGCATCATGCTCAGCATACAAACCTGCTCACAGGGGTATTTCCTACCTGTGGCATCATGCTCAGCACATAAAGCTGCTCACAGCGTATTCCCTAACTGTGGCATCATACTCAGCATACAAAGCTGCTCACAGGGTATTCCCTAACTGTGGCATCATACTCAGCATACAAAGCTGCTCACAGGGTATTTCCTAGCTGTGGCACCATGCTCAGCAAACAAAGCTGCAGGAAGAGCCCTCTGTGGTTGGAGCTGTAGGGCTGAACCAAGCAGGCAAACCTGCCAGAGGAAGATGTGCACTGTGGTATCAAAAGGGAGTTGCAGCAACCAAGAGTTTCATTCGAAACAATTTTGCCTTTCCTGAGCTCTCTTTCCTGATGAAAGAAATTCATGAGGTGACATGGCACCTCATCCCTGACCTGTCATTTTGGTTGTATCAAGAGCTGCCTTAAAATCACAGCCGCATTTTGTGGGACGTTCAGATCTATTGGTTTAAACTCCCCCTGTGCCGTGTCAGTGCCAGCCCTGCCCTGCAGAGGTGGCAGCGATTCCCTCCCCGCGGTCCCGCTCCCATTGCCCGGGTTCCCGTCCCGGCCCCCGGCGCTGCCGCCGCTGTCCGCGGTGCTGAGCGGCCCCGGAGCTCCCGGCCCTGCCTGCGGAACCGGCTCGGCCTCCATCGGGCACAAGGTGAGGTCCCACATCATCGGGACCAGGGTTTGTCGGAATCCAGGACATCCCTCTGGCTGCCCTGGAGGACTCCAGACCCTGGCAAGAGGCTCCAAGACCTTGGCACGGAGTCAAAACCACCTGTGCCTTCGATTTTAGCCCATGGAAAAAATTACCAACTTTGTGTGAGGAGTTACAAGCCACAGGGGGTTGAGTAGAATGTTAGTGAATTTACCACAGGGTGGAAAAGTAGAATTTTGGGGATTTAGAATGAGGGTTCAAGAGGCGAGATGGAGGAATCTGAGTGTGTTCTGTCCTTCTTCTCCTTCTTGTCCTCCATCTTCTGCTGTGATGGTGGCACTTCTGGATTGGTTTAGGGTAGAGACAGACTGTCTAACATAGGTGATAGATATTGAAAAATTATTGTAAATAAAGTACACATAGATTTTAGAATAAAAAGCTAACACCGCCCCAAGGGCAGTCAGTGTGCCACAACCCGACCTGCCGGACAGATCTCAGCAGGTCAGAGAAAGAATGTCATAGATAAAAAAAAATAAACAACCTTGAGAACAAGAGCCAAGGAATCCTGTCTTCTTCTTCAGTCTCGGGGCTGGGAAAAAAGAGACTTTATAACATCTCGGGGTCATCTCGACACCAGAGACCTCGTCAGGTTCCTCTCTGAACATGAGCAGTTACACATAAAAGGAATTGTATTGATATTTCTGTTAATTCATTTCTGTAGCATCATTGGTGCTTAGGGCACTCTTGCAGAAAAAGACCATTTGCCTGAAATTTTTATGCCTTGAGGCATCTCTGGCTAAGCTGGTGCTCTGGAGCATTGCATTGTATTTTCCCTCTTTGATTCATGTGTCTGATTGTCCAAAAACAACACGCCAAAATTTAGCTAGAACATTGGAATAATTGCCTTAACTGTGGTTGAAAAGATGGAGATAAAGCTCACACCTTATGTTTCGTACTAATTATATCCAGAGGGATGCAATTGGCTCATGAAGTTTTGAGGCAGTAACACCATCTCAGCACAGAAACAGTGCTTACTGGCCCACAGAGCCCAAAAAATAGAAGATAAATACATGCTCAAAACTCCTATTTGCAGGGAGAGATTTCTATAGACATAGCTGGGCAGCTGGATTTGAGTATCTTCCAACAGAGTGAAAATATTTCTTCCTTACTTGGTTCCTTTTTTATAACTGTGTTTCATGATAACTACTATATTCATTGATTTTTCATCTTTTCCACATCTATCCACTCTTCTCAAATAACCTTCACATATTTGTCCTCAGCATTGAACATGCTTCTAAGGAACTTGAGATGTGCAATAGAAGAGTTTTTACTACATGATTAGATGGCCATTTCTTCTTTTATATACACAAATTAGCCCTTGCTTCTACGAAAGTCTGTGCACAGAGTCCAAGGCATTTCCCTGAGGATCATTAAATCAGGCTACCACATTTCTACTTAGAAACTTCAGGAGCTCAAATTTATAATGAAATACAGACTAACAGATGAACTGGAAATGCAACTTACAAGTCTGGTGCTTTCCCTTTGCAACAGACAAATTTAATTTATAAAAGTTTTAATAAATTCCTCTGGGTTTTTCCCCACTTGGTTCTTCTGATAAAAGAGAAAATTTATTCTGAACACAAATGGTCTACACTGAGACTGAGGGCAGTCCCTCTATGGTGATCATCTTCTCACAAAATACCATTTAAACTCTACCTGGCAAAGGATCTGATTTCATCAGGTAAAAGGCAGGAGGACGCTTTGCTTCTCACTTTGGTGAGAAGCAAACTCACCAAGTTTCTCAGGATCTTAATCTTAACAAAGGGCAACTATTTCATGTATCTCATGTTATTTTCCCTATGACCACATTCAAATTACAACAGTGGAAGAAAGTATTAAACATACACGCACACATAATTAAGAGTGCGTATGTATCAATTAAATTGGTAAATAATAATAATGACAGTAAAAATATCTAAGAAAACACAATGCACTGAGAAATAATAAGCATAATCCCTTCCATTCAAAATGTTTCACTCCATGGGGCCAGTAATCCAAGACTGTTTCCATAAGGCTCTGCTGTTTTAGCAGCTGTGACACAGTATAAAGTTTCCCATTTGGAGCCTGAGCACAATTAAAGTCCTCCTCAACACCTGATGTAATGGGCTCTTATTTGCTAATTCATCTCAGTAATCAGCGGACCTTGAGGATGTTCACAATGCTGTGTCCAGAGAAATATACAGATTATCCTGGAGCATGCACTCAGGATGCCTTGGATTGGCCATTTATCCTCCTCAGCTCTTTATGGCAACAAACACTTCACTCTCCTGCCTGTTTCTAATTTCCATTTAGGATTTGGTTTATGAAATTGTTTAGAGGCCTCAAGGAGATTATAACTGTCTAGTGGTAGACACCCTTTGGAGGTTTAAATTAGAGACAAGGCAAGAAAATAAAGAAAGGAAGAAAGATCAGGGCTAACAAGAGGCAATAAGTGCTAACACTGAATTGGAGTCAACTACGGTGGCTGTCAAATTTTTGACCACAATTTTGCCTCAACTTTATTTCAGTACACTTGTACTTGATACTCATACCTCCTTCTGAACAGGTTTAGATGAGCATCAGCATCCCCATTTCAGAGGAAGAGCAGATAGAAACTCACTGGCCAATGACTAACAGTGCTCTCAGAATCGGACAAATTCTGGCAAAAATGAGAATATGAGAATTCGTCTTCTTAATTTTCTTAATTTTTCTTCTTAACTTTCATGGGTTTTGAATTAAGCCACGAGGACATCCTTCCATGCTTCAGGTTGTCCTTCACTTGTTTCTCTCTCTAACAGCATTTTTGTAGACAGGTATGACCTCAGTAACCTTTCTCTCTTTTGTGTTCTGGCTGGCTTTCTTCCCAACATCCAACCTGAATCCACAGCTCATGACTTGCCAACTCATTGCTTGCCAGGATGAGTTTCCTTCTACTTTTTGTCCACTAAAATAAGAAGAAAAAAAAAAAAGTAGAAGGGAATTTAGAAGAACAAGAACTCTTGCAAATTTTTTTGCTGGATTGATCCCTGTGCAGCTAGACTAATAAAAAAATCTTCTAATATGCAAAGGATACCAACCTTAGGAAAAAATTTAAATTCATGTTCATTTTTTAAAATTTTTGAGACAAAATTGGAAAACAAGTTTCCCTTTGGTTTTCCATCCATCTCACAGACTGGTTTTCAAGCACTTTCAGTTGTTTTCAGCACTTTCTGGATTGTTGTGGTGGTTCATCTGGCACCCTCCCCATCCTTGGGCCTGCTCTGTGACCTCAGAAGCTTCTGAAAAACCCTGGTGGAACCAGCTGAGGGGTGAAGTGTCCATTTACCACACCATAAATCACTCCCTGGTTGTACCAGGAGCTCTTGCACTGTAGAGGTGGAAAGCACCAGAAACATCAGCTTCCAAAAAAAGGTGGGAAACAAAGGATAAGCAATTTTCCTTTGTAACCTTGGTAAACCACTTACCTGGGCTGTGGCCTGAGTGGAGGGGCACCAGTGTGAATTGTAGCCTGGGTGGAATGGTACCATTGTCACAGCACTCTGGCAAGCTGCAAAAAAAGCACAGCAGTTATTGGCTTGGGTTATGGTCAGGAGGGAAACCTACTGATGGCCAAAGTCAATCATCCTGTGACCCTGTAAATGGTGGTCCTAAGTGAGACCCTTTGAGTTCTCCTGGACTGCAGCAGCTGCAGCAGCAGCACCTCCCTGTGACTGGGGCACCTCTCAGAGCTCCCAAGCCAAGCTTGGGGTACTCAAGGAACCATCTCTGACAACAAGGCTGAGGCTGATTCCCCACCCCACCACATCTCTACATTCCTCAGAGTGAAACCCTTGTCTGTCAGGAAATGCAAAGTGTGAGCATTGATGATTTGGTGTGAGTGCAATGATTTGGTGTGAATATTTCACTGAACCTGAGAGGAATTTTTGATAGGAGCCTTTACACCCATAGAAATCTGTGTACACATCATTTTACCTGTGTGCCTGTGAGTTGATTGTGGTATGAATGTTACTGTCTCAAATCTATGGTTAAGCCATTGTTGTAGTGAGCCCTACTGAATCACTGTTGTAAATGTTAAAGAATTCAATGATTAAGTGCTGCTAAACCCCTTTGCATCCATATCCTTTACACCTTTACCTGCTTTTGCATTCCCAGATTCCATACAAATCATTTCAAATTGCTTTTAATTTGATCTTTCTTTTTACACTTTAACCTGTGCAGTAAATTGTAGAGTGAACCTTGCCATGAAACTATGTCAAGCTGCATTTCCAAAAATTCATACTAAACCCTGGTTTTGCCCATACCTTTGGTGCTGTTTCTTTAAGCAGCCAAACCATTCATTTGTGAGAGCTGTAAGAAGAGGTTTCTGCCAGGTAGATGTGCCTGGTTCTGTGACAAACTTTGTGGACCCACCTTGTGTGGATTGAACTCTTTTATTTGCCCTCTGCTACATCTGGTTCCTTGGTTTTCTGCTTCAGCTGAAACATAAAAAAAACCAATTTATTCACCCAGGCCGTGGCATCTCATCAGATGAGGCCTGTGATCCAGTTTTCTTGCATTGGCAATGACACTAAGTGCCAAGTAAAGGTTTGTGTTCTGGGCAAATCCTTATACTGATGTGATGTTTTCATTCTTGCTCACAGCAGGGAGATCAAACAGAAGAATGGGTTACAGATAGCTGAAGAGAAAAAAGCTCTGCGAACTTATTTTTTTTCCAGGGAGAATAAGAACAAGAAAAGAGAATTAAAAAAAAAAGGCAGCACCTCTTGGCAAACAGTTACATTAAGTACAGTTTGCAAGAACTGTGTATGAAAATAAGTTAAAATTATTTTGATTGTTCATGGAAAAGGAAAAAAAAGATAACATGGTAAAAGAATTAAAAAGGATGTGGTTGCAGAAGGTGGGAACATCTGTTTTGCTACTTCTAATGACAGAATATGGGACAATTCATGCCAACAAGAAGTTGACATATACCAAAAAACCCATATAAACATATAAAAACATATACAAAATATAATAATTTTTGTTCTGTGTGTGATTGACTGTGGAACTAGCTCCACTAGAAAAGTTTGAGACTTAATATACAAACTAGAATCCGTCATTTAGACAGAGATGAAGAACAGCATGAGCACTAACAAGTACATTTAGAAAGATAATAAATAAATACTGTGTTTAAGTTGCTCAGCAATTATAAGAAGCAGAAAGATGGGGAGTAAAGTGTTTGTTAGAGAGTTCTTACACCTGAGTTAGAAATGTTCCAGGTCAGCCCCTGCCAGCCAGCACTTTGGCCACAGCTATGGCCCAGGGTCACAATTTATATTGTGGCTGTTGCATAGACAGCATCACATCCATTGATCTCATTTTAGCTTCCCTGGTAATTTTGTTAAACACTTGCTGGTGGCTGTGACTTGCTTCTGTTTAAGAGTTATTCTCTGGAAGTGTTTTTCTTTCCTTAAATGTAATTAAATACTCTGAAGTTAATCAGAGACCTGGTGTGCTTTTTTCCATGTCACAAGGTCATGTACCTTGGGCTGATGACAGGATTGCAAATGGGGACAGAGTGGTCAGAGGCTGCACTAATCCCTGGCATGAGGGATATGGAGGAGCAGCAAATAAAGCAGGGTCTATGTTAAGTGAGTGGGCAAATGCTTTTGAAAATATCCTCTAAATAGACCGATTCCTCTTTTCCCTATGTGTACCTGGCTAGCATTGTTTTGTGTTTTTCCTGGGTGCTCTGGAGCTGATCCCGGGAGCTTTTCCTTCCTGAGAGCCACAGGAAAAGATATATTGTCCATGTAACTGTGAAAATACTCCTTGAGTTGATGAATTTCTTCAGATGAAGAAATTTAACTAGCCCATGCTGCACTCCATCTTTGTAAATCCTAAGCCCTATGTGTAGCTGCTGCTAAGGAAAAGTTTGGGGAAGTCCATCTGCCACAGAAATCCTTCTGTGATTTCGTTTAAAAATTCATGCCAGATATAGATTTATACTTAGTTTATTTGCTTTCCTACTAAATATTCCTGCCCCTCACATTCACACGTTCCCTCTGCATAAACCAAATATTTCTCTGATTGAGCTCTAATGCCCCAGTGATGGCCACAAATAAAAATACAGCAAGAAATGCAGCAAAACCTTTCAGCAGCAAATAGCTACAGGAAGGTGGCTTGTGTTCATTGCTCCAGTAGGATGAAAATCAGCATTTCAGTGCAAACAAGCAAGTAGTGTCTCTGGGCAGCACACAGCTTCAGAACAGCTTTGGTGTAGTTGGAAAAAAAAAAAGACAAAAAATCCCACTGAAACAACTAACCAAAAAAACCAAACCAGCTTTTATATTCAGCTTCACTGTATATGTAGATGTGTGTATGAATGATTTTTTACTTGTCCTATGCCATGACACAGGTGGTATTCCCTCTTTTTTTTTACAGAAATGCAAATGAACACATTTTATATGTCTGTTTTGTAGAAAGCAGGGTGTCTTGGCTCTCAGGGACCCCGTGCTTTTGAAATGCTGAAAATTTTAAAGAAAATGACCGATTGCCTCCCTCCCTTGGGGCTCCAAGGTTTTGGCCTGAGTCACAAGCAGAGACTGGAACAGGACTGTGACAGCCCTGCATGGGACTGGGGAGCCTCTGGTTTTTGCTCCAACCCCAGCCCACAAGCAGCCCCTGATATGGGACAGGTGGAATTTGAAGGAGACAAGGAAAAAAAAGAAATTAAAATTTCCTGAAGTATTTATTTCACCTCAATGCTTAGACAAGACTCCTTCACACTTCAAGGCACATCCCTCTTTTTTTTTCCTTTTAAATGTTCAGAAATAATTAATAATAATAGTAATAAGAATAAAAATGTCTGGCTCTTCACATGTATACTGAGGGCTGCAAAGCTGTAAAATAAGGGCTTCTGCGTCAGCAATTTAGCCTGATGCTGGCTTAAACTGCCTTACAAGAGGAGCAAAGAGCTTACACTGACCACAGCTCCAGCCCTGAGACTGCAGATCAGGCCAGCAACCAGGGAAAAAGAGCCTCATGGCACCTGTGTGACGGGAAAGAAATTCTCCTGCAATCTCTGGTTAAAGAGAGGAGCAGGGAAATCCACCTTTTAGATGAGGGCACCTGAGCCAGCTCTGTCAGAACTCGTTTGTGCTGCTGTTCCCATGGCTCACAACGCAGCAGCGAATCTGGGCACTGAAATGGCCCCATCTCAGCTGCAGGGAGGTCCTGCAAGACAGGGCAAATTCATCACACAGCTCAGCCCCACGTTTGGCAGGGGAGCCCAGGGAGGGTTTGGGTGGTGACAATTCCCTCCTTGGGAAGGGAATTCCCAAAGGCAGCCCAGGCCCGGGCTCCCCTCTTTGTGCGGGGCTGTGGGTGATGCTGCGCAGTCCAGGCAAGGCACAAACTGAAAACCACCCTCTCCCTCCAGATCTCCCTGGCAGATCTCTTCTGTCACATTCAGCTCTTTTCTTTTTAATACAACACTTTTCCCTCCCCGTGAAGTTTTCCAGTCTTGACCAGCAGTTTCAGTGTCACCTCTTCAAATGGCACCTGCGATCCCCTCCTTCACCCCAGCTGCCCTTCCCCAGATCATTTCTACACTCTTCATAAAAAACCAACAAAATCAGCATCACCACTGCATCCTTCCCCCCTAACCTGGAGCAGTGCATCTGCCCTGGCTGGGACAGGCTCGTGGCAGAGCCCAGGGGAGGCCACAGAGGGACCTGAGGGCAGGGCAGAGCTGTGGGGACAGCAGGTGCCACCCTGCCCAGGCGGCATGGCCTGGAGAGCCAGGGCATTGGGAAACCTGCACTGCCTGCGCAGTAAAAACCCTCGGGGCTGGGCTGCCAATCAGAATGGAAGCAAGAGCTGCTCAGAAAACCCCTCTAAATATCTGTATTTGTGCACACAAGCTGTGCCAGTGTCTTTAGATGTGCCCGTACATCTGTATGTTGTTGTCACACACGCACGGATGTGCACTCAGGAGTGCCTGCCTGGCCCGGACGGGTTTGGAGGTGAGCAGTGCCCTGCACGGGGTGGCACCTGGCAGGGTGGGCACCTTCGGGGCACCGGCAGCACCACGGGCACGGGCACGGGCAGGGATCAGCCCCCGGGCCAGGGAGAGCTGCAAGGGCTGGGTCAGAGCCGAGCACGGGACTGGGAATGCCCCAAACTGCCCCAGCCGGGAAATCACCCTCTAGGAAGGGGATCTCACAGCCCCCCGCTTAAAATGAAACATTAAATTTAATTTTAAAAAAGGAAAAATCGGGCAGGTTAAATAGGGATAGGGCTTTGTTGTTATTTTGTTGGTTTTTTGTTGTTTTTTTTTCAGTGCACGTGTAAATGAAGGCAATTTGGGTGCTACAAATATAAGACGAAAATACACCTAATTCCGTCATCATATAGATATAATATATTTCACTCTCACCACATAAATACAAAACATCCAAATATTCAAAACATTCAGAACAAAAGTTAGTAGCAAGGGCTCAGCGCTCGATTCATTCATTATTTTTTCGACTAGTTGCCTAGAAACTTCAGACGTAAATAATTTACAATAAAATTACTATTTTCTTTTCATCCAGCTCCTTCTGTCCAGTTCTGGTCTATAGTTAATTCTATATTCTACAGCAACCATTCCACTTTTTGTAATTTTTTTTTTCTTTTTTGGTTACAGTTTGGTGGCACGTATTTATACAGTTTGTAAACGCCATGTGTTAAAGTTCAAAGAAAGAAAAGAAACTTAAAACCAAAGTAAATAATTTTTTCCCCCAAAGAACTACCTAAGTACAGCATCCCTTTTGTGGCAAATTCAAGTACCGAAACTGAACAGAAAATATTCGATCCAGAATACTAGAAGGTGAAATACATATGTTTGTGGAGAAAATAGCAGTAAGAATTATGAAAAAAAAAGTTTGTTACATAGATGTGTTTTAAAGTACAAAAATAACAATAAAAGATACGATTTTTATATTTTACGTTCGTTTTAAATGAAGTGTGAGCGATATGCGAGAGGGTTATTTTAGGAGGAAGGAAGGCTACAGGGTTTTTTTGTGTTTAGATGAACATTGAAATTATTTGGAAAAATCAAATAGAGCAATAAAAATTAAAATTACGATCGCAACAGATCTGGATACAAATAGATTTGTGAGTTCCATGATTTGTCTGCAGACTTGTTTTTGCAGATAAGCTCCGCGGGACAGGCCCGTTGGAATTCAAATTAAAAAAAAAAAAAAAAAGGAAAAAAGGGGAAAAAAAGGGGGGGCGTTGTGTTATCTCGAAGGAAGAGACAATTTTACGCAAAATTTCTGCAGCTACCGGTTTCTGTCTCCCCTATTCGTGACTGTACGTTCAGTCCGTCTCGGCCCTTCCCACATTCAAGATTTACCAAGAAAAAGAAAAGTTGCTGGAGGATTTCCTGACTGGCGCTAAGGGCTCGCTCGGGGCTGTAGTGCAGCGAGTGTGGGGGTAAACGGGGGCCACAGGTGGGGCCCCAAAACCTTTGTGCTTAGAAATCACTGAGTCCGGGGGACACAAAAAAACCACCCCAAAACGGGCATCACCTGGCAGCTCCATCCTCCTCTCTCCGAAACCCCGCTCCCTCGCTCGGCATTGGCCGAAGCCGATGGAGGGGAGCCCGGCCGACCCTCGGCCCGACCGCTGACCCTCTGCGTCCCTTCCCGACCGAACGAGCAGCGCGATCGCCCCTCCCGCCCGGACAGACGGACCGTGGGCAGCGGGAGCGCACCGGGAGGCGCCCGCAGCCCCCGCCGCGCCCCGGCCCCGGCCCCGGCTGCCCCGGGCTGCGGGCCCCGCTCCGCCCCGGCCCGCGGAGGGAGCCGCGCCGCGGGGCTCGGGGGCGGCGGGGAGCGGGGCCGCCCGTCCCATAAATACCGCCACAAATAGAGACTATAAATATAAATAGGGGGAAGGTACTTAGAGTCAGTCCAGTGCTTTTTTCTCAGCGCTCTCTTTATTGTTGGTCCGGGAGTAGGGCTCGAAGGCGGACGAGCTCAGGTAGCGGGCCGACAGTTCCTGCAAGTTGCCCGCCAGCGAGCCGGCCACGGCCAGGGGCGCGGAGGAGAGGCGGCCGGCCACGGAGCCCAGCAGCGCGGGCACCGGCAGCCCGAACAGCCCGTGCCCCGCGGCCGCCGCTCCGTGCAGCGCCGCGGGCGGGGGCGGCCCGGCGGCTCCGCTGGCGGCCGGAGGGTGCGGGGAGCCGCCGCCGCCGCCGCCCGGAGCCGCCGCCGCGCTGCCGCCGCCCGCCGCGGCCAGGCCGGGCCCGCGCAGCGCCGAGCCCAGCGCGCCCGTGGCACAGGGCGGCAGCAGGCCCGGCAGCCCCGGCGGAGACAGCAGCCGGCCTTGCTCCAGCAGCCGCAGGACGCTGCAGGTGGCGGCGGTCTCGGACACCACCGAGCGCAGCTCGGAGTCCTTGCCCTGGTCCTTCTTCTGCTTGGTGCGCCGGTTCTGGAACCAGACCTTGACCTGCGGGCCGGGGAGAGAGGCAGGGTCAGCGGGGCGGGAGCAGCGGCGGCCCCCGGCAGGTGCCCCCCCCGGAGGCTGAGGGGGAGGGCTGGGGCACAGGCACTTGGCAGCGGGGAGCGCTTCCAAAACGCACAAAGCCACGCTCACAGACACAGCCCCCCGCACCCTCTGTCTGGGCCCGGTTTCGGGGTGACCCCGGGGCCTTTCGTTCTGCATCTTTAACCAGACCTCTCACTTCGTCCTAGTTTACTACAGGCCGGGAATTCTCCGCGGGACGGAGCCAGCCCTTTCTCACCGCTTTATTCTAAGCCGGCTCAGCCGGAGCCCCGGGCACTCCGCGGCTCCCAGCAGCCGCTGCCCGCTCCGACTGCCCTTCCTGGGGGTAACAGCAGCAATGAGCTTCTTTCCCCGTATTCCAAGCTGGACGCTCTCTCTCTACCCCCAAATAATTTTAAATAATATTCAACTTAAAAAAAGCATTCTGGAAGTCACCCAAAAAACAACAAACAAAACCAAAACCAAACCAAAACACTACAAAACCCACCCATGGCAGGTTCTGTAACCTACAAGCTGTTGAACTTGTCATTCCTATGCGGCAAGGAAAGAAAAAGCTAATTATCATATCAGGGGAATTTACTGTTATATGATGTTTTGTGGAAATATGAAACCAGCTTTAAGTTTGGACTTTTGGGTGCTTCCCTGCGCTCTCACACAGTTTTAGGCCTCCTGTCGGTCCCCGGCCTTTCTGCCCTGGAGGGTGCAGGAGCGATTCTCCCCTTCGGACATAAAAGGACTCAAAATACGGCCCAAACTTCAGCCCCATCCCCGGATCTCTCATACCCAGGAAAGCCCAGCCCGAACATCTCCAGCCCGGCAGGCCGGGGGGAAGGTGCTCGTCTCTCCCTGCGACTTTGAGCGCCTGTATGCTGGGGCTGGGAGCGGCTCGGCCTCCCCTCGCTTCTCCCCGGCCGCAGCAGCGAAATCTCCGCGCCCGGGGGCGGCGGCTCCGCGCAGCCGAACACACGGAGCCTGGCGGGGCCGGATCCCCTCGGGCCGGAACTGTGGGAGCCGGGCACAGCGAGCCTAGCCGGGCCGGAGCTGGGGGAGCCGGGCACACCGAGCCTGGCCGGGCCGGAGCTGGGGGAGCCGGGCACACCGAGCCTGGCCGGGCCGGAGCTGGGGGAGCCGGGCACACCGAACCTGGCGGGGCCGGATCCCCTCAGGCCGGAGCTGGGGGTGCCGCTCCCGGCCCGGCGGGAGTTTGGCTTCGTGGCCAAGCTCCTTCCGAGGCCCTCGGGCCTCCTCGCCCGCGGGGAGAGCCCAGTGGGGCTGGGTGAGGCGACACGAGGGACTCCTTTGGCCAGCAGTTCCCCTTGCCGTGACACACGCAGTTAGGGACACACGCAGTTAGGGACACACTCAAGGACACACGCACTTAGGGAGACACGCAGTTAGAGGTCCCCAGCCGGGACTCCTCAGCCACGAGCCCTCAGCTCCATCCCGGCCGGACACGCGTGGGCACCCCGGAGCTGCCTCGCCCCTCGCCCCGCGGGGGCTGCGCTGAGGGCGCAGGAGGCGCGCAAGGCCGCGTCCTTGGGCCCCCCACGGGCCGGGAAGGGGGGCCCGCGGGGCAGGGCAGGGCAGGGCAGGCGCGGCTCCCCGTCCTTGGGGCGCTACCTGAGTCTCGGAGAGATTGAGCTGGCGGGCGAGCTCGGTGCGCTCCCGGCCCACGACGTACTGGCAGCGCTGAAACTCCATCTCCAGGCGGTAGAGCTGCTCGGCCGTGAAGGAGGTGCGGGTCCGCTTGGGACGGTCCAGATCAAGCCCTTTAGGCAGAATAATCTCTCGGATTGAACCTTTGGCATCTGGCAAAGAAAGGCGCAGTCAGCTTCATACCCAGGCAACCCTCTTCTGCTTTCCCCTTCCTTTTTACACTTTTCTAATTTTTCCAAGGGAAAGAGCCGTCCCCAGCGCCTTCAGGACCGAGGCACGAGTCGGGATGGAGCAGGGTCCCTGCGACTGAGGCTCTGCACCTGGCCACTGCACCCACGGAAGGGAAAAAACCCACAACACAGAAGGAAGGAGGGGGCGATGGGGGCCCGGGCCTCTATAATTAATCCCCTCAGCCCATTTAAAAATTACTTTGAATATATTGCGCTCACAGTGCGACACTGCGGCATCACCCACGGCCCCTCTGGGAAGCTGGGGAGAGAGAGATCCTTCAGGCCAGGCTTTGTGCCTGCCTGGAGTGCAGGGCTACTCTTTGTTCCCCTTGGGCTCCGGGCTAGGACTTGCTGGTAGCCACCATACACATTCCGTCTCCCACCCCAAAATATAAACACTTCTTCTTATTATTTTTTTAATAACAAGTTTCTCATGCTTCCAAAAAAAAAAAAAAAAAAAAAAAAAAAGCTTTTGGAGGCAGCAGTGCCCCGACCTGGCTGCCTGCCACTGTGAACGTGGGGACACCTCCAGCCCACCCTGCACCGCTGCCGCTGCCGCTTTGGGGTTTTGGCAACGAGAAGCAGGAGGGAAAAAAAAAAAAAAAAAAGGAGGGGGGGAGGGAAAGAAAACAAGGCACCAACCAGCCCGCAGAAACCTCACTTTTCTGGTAGCCCCGACTGGAAGGAAAGCGGGACAAATCTCATTAACACGACTGTCAAGCTAGAGCCAGATTCAGGTTACCTTAAAGCCTTCGGAACTTTACTTGCCGTAATTTTACCTCCTCGGTACGTTTTAAATCAGAGACAATCACATCATTTTAATCTGACCCTTCTCTGGGTCAGCCAGTGGCGTAAGGATTAATTCTGGCTTTCAAGGCCTGCTTCCCACATATTTTGTTCCGATTCTTTTCTCTCCCTCCTCCCCCAAAACGCACCTTAATAAAACTGAAATTTCTTCAGGTAATTTTTTCTTTTTTTTTTGGAGGGAGTAAGAATAAGATTATTTAGCTATTTTAGCCTGGAGAAAGGACGAAGATTGAGGGAAATTAAACGTATAACTACTAAAAAGTAATAATTAAATAACCCTTCGTTATCCCTCCATTTATCCTAAGGCTGGTTGTTATTTTAAAACAGCCTTTTTCTACGGGCTGCCGGGCACGGAGAGAGGAGGCACAGGGGGAATCTCTGCCCTCCGAGAGGGCCTCGCTGCCCCTCGCCGAGGTGCGCGGCCGGCCGCGGGCGGGATGCGCGGGCGCGGAGGGAGCGCGCCCGGCAGAGCCGCGGCCCCGCGGGAACGAACGCGGGGCTCCCTGCGGGGACCGGGACCCCGGGAAAGCTGCGGGGCAGGAAAGGAAAAACAAAACAACAATGAGCGGGGCCGGTCCGTTCCGGGGCAGCGCCGGGGAGCAGCAACCGCGGCTTAACTTTGCGCCGAGACTGCGGCGGAAATTCCCCGGGATAAAGGCGGCGGAGCGGGGCCGGGGCACGGCACAGCCCGGCCCGGAGCGGGATCTCTCCCCCGCAGCCGTAGGAAGGGCTTTGGACCCAGGGCCAGACCCCAGGCAAAGCGGCAAAATCAACCCCATCTCCCGGGCTCACCTTCCCCCACCCTCGCCAAACACCTCAAACTCATACCTCTAACTAGGATCCTCCTGCAATAGTCCGGATCAGCCGAACTAGATTTACTTTTATTACAACCTTCCGTGGCTGCAGAGGCAGAAAAAGTCCCTTGCTGATCCTTCAAAAAAGAAGTAGAAATATTTCCTTCAGACCCTTTGCTTTCCTTGCCCTCTTTATGTCCGTTCTTCGAGACCCGGTTAGCTTCAGTCTCTGAACTGCATCTAACGTCCATTTTGTCTTGTTTCCCAAACATGTAGTGCAATAAAAACAAAACAAAAAAAAAAAAAACCAAAAAAAAAAAAGCGCCAACAACGATAACAAAAAAATTATAGAAGAGTAGAAGAAGAAGAAGAAGACGAAGTCTATGCTGGATATTGCACGACTTAGGGTGAGATCGGTGGGGATCTGTAAAGCACCTTGAGAAGGAAGATCGGGTTTTATCCCACTGGAAAAGCAGCGGCTTCCTCAGTCCCAGCGTCCTAATGTGACTGTCCAGCTTCCCAGAGCGCCCAGTGATCAGGTACTCAACAGTACAACTCTAAAATGATTTAATGTCTGCCTTATTACAGAGACATGTAGTTGTTAGACACACAGAGGGACGCGCACTCGCTGTTTCAATTGATTACGGGTAATTTTGCAGCCTCCACATTTAGGTTACCTCATGAATACACTAAATTGTTTGGATAATATATCAGATCGTAATGGATGGTTTGTGTGCTTGTCCCCAATCAAGTAGAGTTTAGCCAGTGAATAAACTGAAATGATTGGTCTTGCTTTCAGGAAACACACAATCAAAAGACTGAGACTTCCAGAAAAAAAAAAAAAAAAAAAAAAAAAAAAAAAAAAAAAAAAAAAAGGAGAGAGGAAAAAAAGGGTGGGGGAGAGGGAAAAAAAAAAAACCCAACTTTTGACAAGATTCACCCTGAATTGTTAGCACCATTAGCAGCCATTATTAACTTTCTTCAGTCTGCCTTTGACCTCCCGATTATATAGTGGCTTTCTCCAAAGCACGCCAAATAAATCTGAATAAAGCTGCTAGGAAAGGCTGAAAAAATGCAGTTGCAGGGGGGGTGAAGAAAAAGCAAAAAAAAAAAAAAAAAAAAGCCCCCTGGATTGTAAACAAACAAACAGATCCCCAGGACGCACACACCCAAAAAGTTCTTCCTCCAAGCAGATCTCTCCAAGGAAGCAGGTTATCTTGGCCAGCAGAAATCCTCGTTAACACATCTCCCCACAGACAGCCATCTTAAACTCCTACCTCTCCTTATTTCAGTCCCGATACTTGCTTTTTGTGCTTCTCCCTCTGTGTGTGTGTGTATGTGTGCATGCATGTGTGTCTGCTAATTCTGCACCTTCGCAAACACTGAACCTATTCGCAGAGCCTGCTCATTGAAAAAAAAAAAAAAAAAAAAAAAAAGCCAGCTTTGTGTGCAGTGGATCCAGGAGGGGGGAGAAAGAGAGAGGGGGAGAAAGAGGGAGAGAGAGAGGGAGGGAGGGAAGGAGAGAGAGAGAGAGAGAGAGAGGGAGAGATAGCCCGTGAAAAATCTCAACTGCGTGATCCACTAAAGGAGAAAAAAGTTTTACTCTAGCTATTTCATTGTCTCTGCTACAATATCTCTGAGAACCGCAACAGCCAGTAATCCAATAAGACCATTGATTAGGCTACAATGATTCAATTCAAGCAAATGGCCTTGTGCAAAGAGCATGCTCCAGTCCTTCTTGTCACCTTGCAGGGCAGAAGCCCTCTTCATGCTTCTCTCCTTATTCATTCCTTTATGGGAAACGTAGAGCAAAAGGAGTGAAAGATGGCAATTATCTAATTGGACTATTAACAAACAATTCTCTGAGTGTGGCTGTCTGGCAGTGGTTCTTGGGCGAGGTGAAAGGCCACATGTTGCACTGGCCCCATTCACAAAGAGTTTAGGGGCCTGAGAGGGAGAGAAAGAATTTTCCCTGAGAATTTTTCACACAAATGGCGGTGTATCCACCGGGCTGGCTGTTCCCTGCCTCGTCCCCTGCCTGCCTGCCTGGGAATTCCACCCACCTGAAGCAGGCAGGGCCAGTCCTGTGCCTTGTTGCTGATGGCGCCAGGAGGGAGAAGCAGAACTCAGCTCCATGGGCCTCATCCTGCCTCTGCTGGTGGAAAAACCACCCACCCTCATCCCATGGGACACAATCTTTGTCCAAGGTGGTGGAATGGAGGGAAGAACCCAGTGCTCGATCAGCATAAACAGGAAATTCATGGGAGGCGAGAAAAGAACGGGGGGGTGGGGAGGGTGGAAAGGAGAGGGGAAAGGAAAGGAAAGGAAAGGAAAGGAAAGGAAAGGAAAGGAAAGGAAAGGAAAGGAAAGGAAAGGAAAGGAAAGGAAAGGAAAGGAAAGGAAAGGAAAGGAAAGGAAAGGAAAGGAAAGGAAAGGAAAGGAAAGGAAAGGAAAGGAAAGGGGATTAAAAAAAAAAGAAAAGAAAAATAAGATGGCTGTTCATAGGTACATTTCAGTGAGTTGTCTTTAGGAGAAATCTCAAATATTTGTAATTTTCCCACAAATCTCCATAATTTATTTATACTGACATTGTCTGAAAAGTCGGATTGAGATTGGTAAGGTGTACCTAAGACCTTCATCAAACCCTCTCATTTCAACTCTGTTTATGCATACAACCAGACATGGAACATCCTCATTATGGACCAGGTTTCTTCTTTCCTTACAGCCAGTGCATCTCAGGGACCTGTGGTGCTCTGTTCTTATTAACTCCCGTTGTATGGCAGCCACATAAACCCAGGGCCCCAAATAAACCCCAGCCCCTGTGCAAGGCTCCATGCAGCTGCAGACAGAGCATGGAAGGAGTTCATTCCCCCCATGGATTTGCAGCGCTGCTCAAAGGCCTGCTGGGTGACAGGCTACCAGGAAATCTCTGATACATTTCAGAGAGATTTGGTCTCTCAAAGGGAAATGCAACAAGTGGATGCTGATTAGGGAAATTTTTAATGTGGCTGAAGCATAGGCTGGGCATAGCAGGCCAGCTTTGTTGTGTGATATAGATAAACACAAACATGTGTGTGTGCACAGGCAAGGCTCCATCAACAGTCCCAGCTGGACATGGCTGTTTAATGCTAAACAAAACAAAGTTCTGCTACAAACATTTTTACCTAACGGATTTTATTTTAGACAGAATGGGCGTAGTGATTCCCATAAAAGGTTTGCTGTGAAATACAGAGGCAATTATAATTGTATTTGCATAGGTGTGTGGGTGTATGTGTGACATTTCCCCCCATAGTTTTCTTTATGCTAATCTCTATGCATAGGCCATAATAATAAACATGGAGCTATTGAACTCAATTAAACTGTTTGAAACAGAATATCAGGAGATTAAATATTATGTTTGTGTGATAATCTGGCTTTTTTTTTTTTTTTGACAAGTCCCTGATCCAAAGCTCAGTAAAGACCAGGGGATTTTTGTTATACTTGTGCCATATTCTGATAAATACATTTCAAGGATCTTTTTGTCCATAGAATTCAGTGGTATAAAAAGAATTTTCCCAATTGAATCAGTTAAATTTGCTTTCACACGTTATGAACATAGCGCTATTGAAGGTCTGGAAATTCAAATAATGAGTCTAATCCTGAAGAAAACTTGTAGTGAGCAGACAAGCCTGTCCAAACAGAGCTCAGTTCCTTTAATTGAGGCCCGCTCATCTGCAACAAATAGCAACATCCAGAGCAGCACTGGGAAAATCAGAATTTTACCCTTTACAAAAGCAACGTTTTCTTTAGTCCAGCAGTCACTAAATTTCCTTTCACCTATTCTCATTCACTTTTCCCCCCACAATATGCTTAAATCATTCTTGGATGTGATGTTCTTTCAGGACACGATATGTCCCTCTCTTACTGTCACAACTTCAGGGATGTCTGTAGCTTCAGCACCCTCACATCCACACTCGTGTGTCACTGGATAAGCAGATTAAGAGTTACTTCTTTTCCCTTCAAATAATGCTTAAAATGTCTTAGTACACTCTACAGGTACTCCCTGGCTGTGCTTTGCTGTGTAGACCTTTCTGTTTTTCAAATACAGTTTTATTAGTTTGCATTAACATGCAGAAGAATGAAAAATCTGTTTCTCATTGACTGCCATTATTTATGTTATTTTTATCTCTATTTCATGTACAGGAGAGATGTACATTATAGCTACTGCTTCTTGTGTTCTTCTTTGTTGATAAAAGTAAGAGTTTCAAGCTAAAAAGCATGGTTCAAAGATCTTCTGACTCAAAGATTTATCTCAGGGTTTAATAGCCCTAAGCAAATTTTTATTCCATTAATTTTCCTGATTTTTTTGGCTCAGATTATTTGCTTTTGAATTTACAGATACTTTTGGCAAGGAGCTGCTCGGCCTTTTTTGGATACTTGTTTAGCACAGGGGATGTGAGCTGGTACCTTGGGGCTGAACAACTTCCTGGTTATTTCGAATTAACAGAGAGTGTGGTGTTACTCATAATGATACATGTGACAATGTCAAGGAATTGCTACAAAAAGACAAGAAAAATGTTATTATTTTGTGCATCAATGTTACATTTCTCTTGGACAGGGTGTTCCTGTCCAGTGTGAGTGGCTGTGTCAGTGCCGAGGAAGAAGATCTTTATCAAGATGAAGGTTCACAGCAGGTTCTTTCCCACAGGTCTCAGGAATATGTTTACCAACAGGAACATTGATCACCTTCTCAAACAAAGCGCACAGCATAACCAGCAACTCTTCTGTTTTTGCAGTTACTCGCTGCTGTTGAGGAAATTTCCTTGCAACAGAAGATGGACTCTGGAAGTTTCAAAATGTACATATTACTGTGTATTTAGGGGACATTCAGAGGGCCTGTGCTAAGCTCTCTGTTTCAAATAGAGATTTGTTCTAGTGTGCATTGCCTTCATCTCCTGCAACTGAGCCTGGAAAATGGACTTCTCCCACACAGGGCAGTAGTATCCTCGAAGAACAGAAATGTGTTTCTCTCTGGAAACTTTACACTGCCTTTGAAGGAAAGGATTGAAGTCTTTGACTCAGTTCAGCTCTCTGTGTGAAGTGGAAGGTAAGGTTGTCATGTTTGTGGTAGTCTGCATGGCTAGAAACAGCTCTAATTGCACTTTCCCAGACTTTCCAAGGACTGATGCTCAGGTACATTTGTGTTTTTCAATGTTATGTGGGCCCTTGGGTCATGATATAAAAGATGTACATGAAATGAAATGTTACAGGCTCACAAACATAATGGGTGCAACAGCAAGAAAAAGAAAATATCTCTCTGCTTTATAAGTGGGCAACAACACCAAATATTGGTATGTAGCTGTTTCCAAATAGGTTTCATCAGCTCCAGTGCAGATGTTGTGTTCTTCATGCCAGCACCCCATGCATGCCTTCTGTTCTGCAAGAAAACTGTTTAAAATAAATGGGCACACCCAGAGACATATTTAAAATAAAGCATCAATCCAGATAATCTAAG